TTATTTTGATATATCACAGTGAAAGATTTATCGTCCTCTTTTTTTTTTTTTTTTTTTTTTTTAAAAAAAAAAAAAAAAAAAAAAAAAAAAAATTCAGCAAAGTTACCTTAGGTTTCCAAGACATGCATATAGCCTTCCCACCTGTGCGGGGTGCAATAGAGGCTCTAACTTGGGAACAAAGGGACAAGGCTCAGCCTGGTGACAAGAGGAGGCAATGCTTTCTCTGACTGGGATCCCCAGAGACCGGTGATGGCCTTCCAGCTTTATCTGTCTCCAGGTGTCAGATTTTCTGTATATGCGACAGCGGATCACCTGGAAACACTATCCACAGGTTATACCTGTGAGACAAGGCAAGAAGGGCCAGGGAGAGCACTGTGGACCTCAGTAAGCGGCACAGGGCCATGGCTGGTTCATAGGGCTTTCTGTACTTTACATAATCATGATCATGGCTGAAATTTTTCCGTGATTCTCTACTGCGAGAATGCTCAATACCAGCAGCTGGAGAGGGCTGCCTGCTCTGTGGGGTAACAGAGGGATCCTGGAGATGGAGACCCCATGAAGTTGGCAGGCTTAACTTGGACAGAATCCGTATTAGGTTTCATTCTGCAATGGAATCACAAAAGCACCAGACAGATCCCACACGCGGTGGCCCACTCTGACAGGGAAACTATCTTCTCTCAGACACCTTCCCCTCCATTTCCCTAAAGTGCAGTTAGCCCAAGATGCGGGAGGGGACTTTAGATTTTCTTAGGGTTACAAGTCATTAAAAGCATATCCCTAATATAGGCGTTAGGGTTTACTTTTATTTGGGGGTTGCTGGGGATGACCCCAGGGCCTTCTACATGCTAGGCAAGCACTTGACTACTGATCTAGATAGGGCTCAGTTTTAAGGGTTTTAAGGTGAGCACTAGGGTGAACTTCCTTAAGACCCCTAGCACCTGCCCTTTCCTGCTCCCCTATTCTCCGTGCTTCATTGGAGCGCAGGGTCCAGATGTGCGATGTCTATGCGGGCTTCTTTGGGTGCATCGTCCCACCCATGGCCACAGGATCTCGCCCAGGCTGGGCTAGTGAACTTTCAGGGGCAAATAAAAAGAACCCGCCGGGAAGGCGCAGTCTAAACTCCTCCCTATCAGGGCGGTCGCGGGTCTCCAGCCGCAGTTGGGTCACCACCTCCGCCTGCCGCTGTCTCCTGTCACACCTGATCCAGCTCAGGTCCCGCTTCCGCGGGCGGAAAGAACGACGTCGAGGTGGTCACTGCTCGTCGGTGGGTCGAGGGAGCGTCTCTGGTCCCTCCGGGGAGGTTGGCGGTTCAGGACCGACAGACCGATGGACGTGCGTGCCTAGCGGCCGTGTAGGGTGCGGGAGGAGGTGGAGCCGCCGGGGAGGGGCGGTGCCGCGGGAGCAGAGCCCAGCCTCCCGCCCCCTTCGGTGCTTAGGTCTCGGGTGGTGACACAAAAAGCTCCCGCTTGGTGCCGAGCGCCTGGCGGCGGGTCGGATCCCGGACCCGGAGGGCGGCCCCGCAGGTGGAGGGCGGTGCCCGCAGGGAGGGCCGGGCCGGGAGAGCTGGGCAGCGGGAGGCGCAGCCGCCGCGCTGCCGGTGTTGCCCCGCAAGCTGGGGCGGGAGGAGCAGGCGGCGAGCGTCTGGCGGAGCGCGGCGGGCAGCGGGGACCACCCGGGATGCTGCTGCGGCTGTGGGGCCGTCGGCTTAGCGAGCGCCCGAGCCGGCTGCGGAGACAGGTCAGTGAGTTTCGGTTTGTTTCCCTGCACCACACGCTCCTGGGTCCCGGGGCGCACAGAGGGGTGCGTGGGCATGCCTTCGCCTAGGAAAGCTGCAGCCGGGGATGTATGCGGGGATACCTCTTGGACAGAGTGATTGCGGTGGCCGATTGGGGAAGGGAGCACCGGACCGGAGTGGGGTCCCCGGGGGAGGTGGTCCCGGGAGTTGCGTTTCTCCAGAGCGCTGGCTGAGTTGGGCGCGCGACTGGGGCCGGGTGAGCTGCGCTGTCTTCGCTGTGTTCGGGCGAGTCCTGGGATGCCCCCTGGAGCTCTAGTCCCAGGGAGCTCGCCTCGTGCACCCGCCGCGCGTGCTCTAAGGGGCGCACGTGCATGTGCGTGCGTCCTAGCTGTGCCCCCACCCCCAGCCCTCCCACGACTCGGGTCGCCTCCTCCAGTCCTGTCCTGGTGTACCTTCTGTAACCCCAGAAGTTGTCGTGGGGCCCTTCTTGGCAAAGGTGGGGGCCTAGTGGCGGGTCAGACACTGAGGGGCTTTTGTGAGGACCCCTGCTCCCGGGGCACTTGCTCCTGGAAGGACAGAGGCAGGACAAAGCAAGCTGGACTCGTGGGGCGCTGCTCACACAGCGGCGGTCCGCGATCCCGCCTACCGTGGGGGTGTGGTGGGGGACCCTGCAAGGATTTGGAAACCGTAGGGAAATCGGCAAAACTGTGACAGTGACTTGATGAGGTAGTGGATAGGGGCAAAGGAAAGGATGCTGGGGATGCAGACCTGATGTGTGTGTCTGCTCGAGTGACTAGGCGTCCTGCATTACCATCTGTGCAGGTTTACATAGTGTATTTTGCTAGCTATCTTTGCCCCAAGATAATCTTTATTCTCCACCCTTTCCGACTCCTCTCTTTCTGCGGGATTACTGTTGCTGGTAGCTGCTCTACCGCGGGAGAACTGCGGAGAGCTGGCTATTTATCCTGGAGAGGATCCATATAGCCCCCTCCATGCCCAGTCGGCCCTCCACCCCTCCCAGCTGCTGGCTCCCGGGAAGCCCACTCCCGCCCCAGCTGCCGGCCGGGGTTTGGGGGTCGGGGGTTGCTTGGATTTCTCTGTGTACTGCGCGTCTCTAACCCTTACTGCACGTATTTCACTGCAGGCTGAACAAAGCTCAGTCTCAATTGCGCTTCCTGCTTGTCAGCCTCTTGCCTCCTAAACGCATACCGTTTTCACTTGATGTCATCACGCAGAAGGGGGTGAAAGGGACGCGTGACAGATACAGGTAACCCCCGATGGTCTGGGTAGCCGCCTGGGTGTCTGGGTCATTTGGGCCCACAGTACTGACACAAGGCTGCTTGGGTGGTTTCTGCTTCCACAGCGTTCCCATTTGTGAGGGAGTGGGGCTGCACAAACAAATAAAATCTATCCTACCTTAGAGACATGCTTTTGACTGTCTTGTTCCTCCCCCTCCAACAAATTGCGAAGGACTTCATTCCTTTTGGAGAGGTTGCTGGGGGCAAGGTGCTTTGGGGGCTTGTATTAGTTTTACTGGCTGGTGGTAATTTTGATACCATCAGTACACAGTTGTACCTGAATGTGGGTTTGGATAGAAGACAGCATTCTTATCTACAGTAATATATTTTGGCTTAAGTGTCTAGTGGAGCATCATTTAATGAAAAGGTATGGTAAGGCTGATATTGTGAGGCTGATGATAAATTTGAACAGTGCTCAGTTAGGGCATTGGCCAAGGGCAGTGACCTTCTTGGGAAACAGTAACATCTTTCTTCCATCCCTTCATTGTAATAGCACTTGTCATATCAAGAGAGCTGCTGGCCTGGCACTACATTGTTGGGAGGTAGCAGAGAGGGTGGTTGAGCGAGCAGAAAGAGACTAGAGAAGACAGAGCTTTAGTTAAGTTTCCATTTATAAAGCCATGAACCATTAGATTCTCGTTCTATCTTTAAGTTGTTGGTTCTTTTCCAAAAACTCTGGCCTGTTCCATTTCTTTCCAAGGAGAGTTCTATTGTGATCCACTTAACCATATGGTAGATTAACTTGACCTAGGGCCCTGAAAACCTAACCTTCAGACATACCAGGACACTTTAGACTACTGGCCCCTCCTAGAAGCCACACAGGGGGTGGGGAATAAGAATAGTTACAGGAAGTCAGATTTCAGGGCCTAAGGCTACTTTTGCACTGCCTCTGCATCACAGAACAGGGCAGATGCTTTTTCCTAAAGTTAAAAAACTTGAGAGCTTTGTCATTCGTGGTTAAGGTGGTTTGTTTGAAAGGTGACTTTAAAACCAGAAGTGACACCAGTGTTTACCCTTCTGCTGAAAGCTTGGAGAATCACTAGGAAAAGCACAACAGTCCTTTCATCCCAGCTGAAACAACCGCCAATGCTGAGATTATGAGTATGGTGCTAGGATCGGATTGAGGTTTTTTGACAAGTGATTTTTCTGTCAGCAGTAATTCAGGGTGTGTTCTGGGTTGCAGGAAGAAGAAAACCCACGTGATGGAATAACAGGGACTGTAATAATGCAACAGAATCAAGGGTGTGGCCTTTTTAATAGAAAAAATAAATACCTCACACAGAAAATTCCATATGGGAAAACAGCTGCCTGCACATGTAATTGCATGTCCAAGAACAAAGATAGCCACAGTGTAGTATTAGTTTTCATTGTGGTTTTAAATCATGTGCAGGGATAAATCATAATAAAGTGTTGTATTGATGTCAAACTTGCTTTTTTTTTTTTTTTTAAGACGGAGGTTCCCACTCCCAGGTATCTGCAGGAGTGGGTTTAGCTTTAGGTTGGCACACAGCTGACCTTTGGTGCCAATGCCTTTCTCAAAGCTCATCATTCATTGAGCAGATGTTTATGGGTTCTTAGTAGATAATGGGTTCTGTGAAAGGTCCTGAGGGGTGGGGAGTGATGGGTAGAGAAACAATCATGAATCACCTTCACAGAGCTTGTAGAGAGACAGAGAACTGGAGACCTAATTGTAAGTGAGGGAGATGAAGAAAGAATGGGGCTAGACTTCTGAGGAGGCTCATCTAGCCTCTACTTGATTGCTTCTTTTGCTTGGGAGCGCTCTGCTCCCTAAGTCACGTAGCCTTTCTTTGTGGACCTTGACATCTTCATCTGGATTCTTCATGACTGTTTAGGCTCCATCCTTGTCACTCTGTCTCCCTTTCTTCTTCCTGACTAAGTTTCCTGTGCCTTTTTCTCAAGATGGTGTTCAGTCCCTACTACATAGCAAGTTGGAGACAAATTCTGCATTTCTGTATTGCCTGATTTAATAAACAGATTGGGGTCAGGGAGATTTTTTTTTTAAGGTTTCTCTTACTCTTTTTTAAGCAGTGAAGTGTTAGCAAGAGAGCTCAGAATTTTCTGGAGTAAGGAGTACCTTCACACCTCAGTGCTCAGCACAGTTTCTTTCCTGGGCTGTGTCTAGCTTTTATGGGTAGGTAGGCTATGTTCACTGTAGTTACTCAAAACCTAAACTGAAGGAGGCTTGATCAAGCCTGATCTTATAGGATCACTGTAACTCCAGAAAGGATATGGCTCAATGTCGTTTAAACAATTGCATAATCCCACTAGAAATGAGTTACATTGTTCTGGTCCCAAACCAGGTATATGACCCCATTTAGCCACAATTCATTATTATTTGTTATATGGAAAGAGGAAGTGAGAACAGGTAAGCATTGCTGGTGACTGATAGACTTCTCTGTCCCATGGGACCTGGCTCAGGGCTTGGAGGTTATCTGCTGTTCCATGAGCAGTGTTTGAATAAGTCAATGACAAATATTTTAAAGAATCTGGTCCATGAACTGGGGAGATAGCTCAGTGGGCAAAGTGCTTGCCATGTAAGCATGAGGACCTGAATTTGAATCTGCAGAACCCATGTAAAACTGGACATAGTAGCATGTATCTGTAACCCCCGTGTTCATACAGCAAATGGGAGACAGAGACAGAATCATCTCTGGATGCTCCCATCTGTAAGCAGAGAACAGCATCAAAGAGACACTGTTTCAAGGTGGAATACACACACACACATACACACACACACACACACACACACACACACACACGCTCAAACACACTCGCACACACTCACACACACACACTCACACACACACACACACACACACACACACACACACACTCACACACACACACAAGGAGGAGCATGCATTCCCATCCACACACATGTATAAACACTCATCAAGCATACATATAACAGATTTTATTAAAAACCTGGTCCTTCTCCAATCTGTTATTTACTAAAGTGTTACTGTAGCATAATCTAGCATGATTACACACTTATTAACAAAGAAAAATATTGAAGTCCTTTTCTTTATGCCTATTTGGATTCCTGGTTTGCACCGCAGGGATAGGTCACTATCTGTACTGATAGGCTGATGCTAGCAAGTCGCATGCCCAACATTATGTAACGAGAGGTGTCCCTTGCAGACTTTTTCTCTCTTACCATCTGCTTCTTGTCTAAGACTTCCTGATTTTGTTTGGAACAGCCAACAGTATAAAAGGAGTGGCAGGTGGGCCTGGAATCACTGAGAAGGTGACCTGCTATAGTGAAAACCTCAGGAAAAGAGAAGGACTGGAGTGCGAAGGAATGCATTAGGGTAACCTTGGGTCATCCTCATGTTATTTCGATGCTCAGAAAAAGCAATTTGACCAAGAGGTTTTTTTCAGGTTGATGAACTCACAGAACACTCAGAGTGTTCTAGGGCATTCTTATTTCCATTAGCCACCATGTTGCCTGTGAAGGTGATGAGTTTTAAAACCTGCTTTTTCCCACTCTCCATAAAAAGAGTTGGGTGCTGAGGACTAAGTATTAAAAAGGGATGTGGGCCAAGTAGCTGGCAACTTGCAGAGAGACAATTACTTTGAGAAGAGCTGGTCACCTTAATATCCTAAATATCTTTGTCCACATTGAGGTAACTACCTGTGAGGAGTAGAAGTTTCAAGATCTGGTACACACTTTAAGGATAAGC